AATTATCCCCTGTCAGAATCACTAATCAGCGCACTGGGAAAGAAAGAGAAGGAAGATGAGGCAAATGATGAGATTGAAACGACTCGTCCAGCTTATCTTAGTTCACAAGATACTTCCATGTGGGGCATTTAAAAAAAAAGGGTGTTGGATATGTTTATCAACAAACGTACATTGATACTTACAGTAAAGTGGTTCATTATAAGCTTTACACAACGAAAAGCTCGATAACGGCGGCGGATTATATGACAAGTTTCTCCCCTTGGATAAAAAGATGTAGACTTTGTACTAAGCTCTGAATATAGTACGTTTTATAGACCCGGTATGAGAATTCTTTGAGCAGAGCAGCGACCATATGGGTCTCCTGCCCCGTTTTTTGGAAGAAACAGGGTTATTTTATTGCATATAGTTCTGACACATGTATTGTTTGTTGTCCATTTTGTGTGTGTGCGTGCGTGCGTGCGTGTGCGTGCGTGCGTGCGTGCGTGCGTGCGTGCGTGCGTGTGTGTGTGTGTGTGTGTGTGTGTGTGTGTGTGTGTGTGTGTGTGTGTGTGTGTGTGCGCGCGCGCGTGAAGAGTGAGTGTATAGTGTGAAGGGCCAATGGCGGAAAAGTGTCCCACTCGACCATTAGGTTAGTGTAATAGGTGTAAAAGAATAATATCGAGTTCTCTACCACCCTGACTGAGTGAACCGTATACCAACAGGTAACACTATATAAGTCTGAGGGAGAGTGTGAATGGATATAAGGAGCCGATTGCGGTGGGAGCTGAAATGGCCTAGCTGTTGATGATAGATCCTGGAGCCAAACCTCGGTGGTTGGACGGGTAAGACCGAGGTCTGACCCCGGACTGCCAACACCCGGGGTGGATGATTCTCGTGACCTGCCGGTAAATTACTGTCAATTAGACAAAAGTTAGCCAAATAGAACACTTTTTGCAATAAGCGCTTAAGTAAGGAAACGAGAGTGAGGTGAGCGACGAGGCATGATGCAATAGGACTGTTATAATTTTTCGCATCCCCTATTATTTAATTATCAGTTACTTAGTGGATCTACGGACAATATACAGTCTCACGGCCCTTACACGTTGTGCAATGTTGCCCAATTGGCCGTTCTCTTAATATAACAATGTAATATTATGAGCTTCAAAACTGTGGGACAACGGAGCTGAAAACAAACCATGAAATAATCATAGAATAGACTTTTCTTTTTGGTTATGTATTTAACAACAGTAATGGCGGGGCAAGTTCGGTTTGATTTTCAACACGTGAAATTCACTAGAAACAATACGGATTTAAGTGTATACAGAGAATGATAAGAGTTTGCGATGAATAAAAAAATTCTCTTGGTCTATTCTTTCGCACCAAAACCGGATTAATAACTCCCAACCTATAAATGATTAGAAAGCTCTTTAACAGCCTAAGTTCTACATAATCATCATTTAGATAGAAATACTTCTAGAAAATTCACCCCACAAGCGACATTTATAACTACAACAGAACAGATTGAAAGAAAGATCGTTCTCTCTTTTTCGATAAAAAAACGTTATGTCACAGAAAACGGAACTGAATTACGTATAAGGATGAAAGGGTCCGGTTTTAATAAACAATTCGACAAAAAGGGATGGGACGGTGACAAGAGAAAGTTCTTCGCCCGGTGATACCGCGAGGCGTGCCATTAGTGTTACGATTCACATCGGATAGCGGAAAATAGGAAATGAGAAATGGCAAATTGTGTGGCACAACTAAACATGGGAAATGGTTGCCGATCTGGTCTATCCGACGGAAATCTTCCTGACGAAGCAACTCAATCGCTGCCCCCCTTCGGATCCCCTCACGCAAACAGATTATTCATTCGCAGACATATACACTGACAGGCAAAAATTCCACCAAATTGATTTTTTTTCATTTTCTCGATAAAAGAAAATTCTGCGCTTAATTTGTCTCACTGTTTTTATCAATAAATATTTGTTTATGCTGTTTTAAATTCGGAATATCAATTAGAGCTAAACACACTTAATCCTTAATCCAAAACAAGGATAAAGGATTTTTCAATGTTTCCTTATTACGGAATTTAAAATATTTATTCAGTCTCATTTGAATTCTGAAGTAAGAACTGTTTAGTTTTCATCTTCGTTTTCTTAATTTCAATTTTTAAACTTAAAAATGCCACTTAGTGCTGAGGATGGTTGCGCGTGGTGTGACATTATGGATGATGGACGTTCCATCAGGTGTGCGGCAATTGCCATCGGAGTTCCCTACGAAACTCTGCGAGAGGCCGGTAGACGTTTTCGAGAAACTGGGTCCTACCACAGAAGGCCCGGTTCTGGACGCCCTAGGGTAAGAAAACCACAGGATGACCGTTTTTTGACTTAGAAAACTTTTCGAAATCGCCACATTACTGTTGTACAAGCGGTACACACCTCATCAGCTCCAGAATGCAAGGTGTCCTAATTTCTGACCGCACTACTCGAAGAAAATGAAGTCAGTATGGACTGATGGCTTTTCGCCCAGTAGTAGGACCAGAATTGACCAGAAAACACTCGAGAACAGAGCTAATGGTCTTAGATGATTGGTCTGCAGTACTTTTTACAGATGAGTGTCGATTTGCTCTCTCATCTCTAGATGGGCGTGACAGAGTGTACAGAAGTAGGAGAAGGTAAGAAGCCTGTAATTTTTCCCAAAGCCAACCTTTTCAACGTAGCTCAGTATGGTGTGGGCTTTTCAATGGATAGTCGCCAGAGTTGGTTGTTCGTGGAGGGTCTTTGACTTCCACTCGCTATATGGATAAAATTTTGGAACATCATGCGTTGCCTATCCTCGATGAAATCAGCGACAATCCTATTCTAATGCACGATAATGCCCGTCCAAATATCACCCGCATAGTGCAAACGAACCTTCAACAGCATAACATCAGGGTCTAAGCCCGGCCAGCCCAGAATTGAATCCCATCGAACATTTATGGGAGAACCTCAAAACACGAATAAGAGCAAGTCCATCACTGCCTGATGCACTCCACATCTTAAAAGGTCTCTTCGTGAAGAATGGGCTAACCTCCAGCAAAGATACATTTCCAGACTGGTACAAAGTATGACGAGGTGTCTTCGAGACGTAATTAAGGCAAACGGAGTAAATACGCGATATTGAAATGTTAATTAAAAATCTAAAAAATGTTATCTGTCCGTCTTTTATTATTATTTTTTTTATTTGTTCTATTATTTTTCATTTTCCTTAGCAATTTACATTTTTTTAAACCTTTTTAGACAAAAACTCAATTACTAAACGTTAAAAAACGTGAAACCTTGATTAATATAGCAAAATATGTACAAATCAAATTATATTACAAATGGGTGGAATTTTTTGCCGATCAGTGTATATCAAATATTTGGAAATTCAGTGATAAAATAAACTGTGTTTCGGGATATACACCACCATCGAATTTACTATCGTTTCCTTACAATCAACAATGACAACAGCAAATTAAACCGTTGCATGGTGTGTAGACTTTCTCGTGTACACGAACTAGTTCTGAGGTGTTTTTGCAAAGTGGTAAAATTATATGTTTAGCTTCTTTCGGGATCGGGAAAAAGCTACAAGTCCGATGGTCACTGTTAAAAACATTAAAGCCATACACCGTGCTTTCGAATCGATTTTGGCAATAGACATGCACCCTCTGACCCAAACACCGCAGAATTGTGCGTGAGACGGCGAAACGCGCCTGATAGACCACGAAGACCAATAACGACGCAACTACAGGTTCATCACCCCGAACACCTCGAGATAAAACTTTACCACCTTTATGCTGTTAAGTTCAAGAACGGCATAAAAACCACAGACAACAAAAAATAGATAATCTTACAAACAATTGTCTTCTGTTTGTTTAATTTAAAGAACTGGATCAATAAAACACCTGAGTGCGTGAATTTTTACAATAGAAAAAAACATTATTAACAGAAGGATATTAAAAGGAAAAAATCATCAAATCGTACCAATCTCTCACTTAAAATCAAAATGGTCCAAAATAATCTTGATGTTAAATTCATTATTTCAGATATAGTAAAGATAGTATGTACATATATGTCTGAAATAATGAATTTAACATCAAGATTATTTTGGACCATTTTGATTTTAAGTGAGAGATTGGTACGATTTGATGATTTTTTCCTTTTAATATCCTTCTGTTAATAATGTTTTTTCTATTGTAAAAATTCACGCACTCAGGTGTTTTATTGATCCAGTTCTTTAAATTAAACAAACAGGAGACAATTGTTTGTAAGATTATCTATTTTTTTGTATCATACTGTGTTCAGGAGTTACGTATGTGACGGTAGAAAAACAAAAATCGATGTTATTTGTGTTGGCATATTTTGCAATAAGAATATAAGATATATTCATTTTTATAATTATAATTGTTCATACATTCACAACAGGAATGAGAGCAGGTGTAAACGGACCGAATTTCCCCCTAATAAAATTCCCCTCGGAACGTTTCCTCTCTATATCAAAGCGGAGATCCACGCAATTAAGCTCTGGGAATCATCGGGAAAGATTGAAAAATGGGGCTCCGGGGTGATGAACCTGGAGTATGGTGATCACCCTGGTCTGCCTAGTCTCGTTGTTTTGGCATATCAGACGTGTTTCACCATTTCTCCAAATTCGAAATAACCAAAATAAGCCAGCCAGTTGAAATGGCGTCTGAGAGCAAAACAACGAGACTAGCCGGACCAAAATGTTCGGAAACGACCAAACAAATTTTACAAAGTCGTTACATATATTGAATAGTTTTGAGAAAGCTTACGGGAACTTTCCATTAACAAGTATATTAAACATTGCAGTTATTTTCATGCATTGCATCTATTTGGTTCTAGCTTTCTATTTTTATCATACAAGTTGCGAAAAAAGATTGTGAAGATATAGATTTTGTATTTGTTAGTTTTACACGCAATTTTTTGTTAGATTTTGTTCCAAAAATATATGAATATATTAGATAAAAAGATTATTCTTACCTTCTTCCATTTTTCGTTGTATCTTCTTCGTCCAGAGACCCACCAGCGCCAGAATCCTAGAAAAAAACAATAACTCTTAAAAACAAAAATAAAAAGTTTATAGCAAAAATTCTAATTTAAAAAATATTTAGATTAGTTGATAATTAAAAACTAGATTGTGGACGTTTCGATAGGAAAACGGATACATTGATTATATAGACACTGGTCTTATATGGTTAAGACCTTCAACGATGACAACTCTCAATGAGAAAGACCAAGATGTTTACGTTTTTTATTTTCATTTTACTACTTTTTAAATATCTTTCGCATAAATTATTTAGTTTACCAATAATAGGGGTATTCACGTAAATAATTCCAATCGTGAAGAGTATTTAAAGTCGAGAGGTTTTGAGACGAAAGTAAAGTTAGCATTTTGTTTATTTAACGTGTCACTTGCTTATAATGGAAGTGTTCAAAAAATAAACAGAATGAAGAAACATGTTTCATTGAAAATGAAAGGAACAAACAGAGAGTAGAAGCATTAATTTTATGAAACAATTTGCAACAAGGAACTACAGCAATCTAGCCACGCCACTGCCTTTTTGCATACGTTTGACTTTAAAAAGGTTAATTATTTGAAAACTAATACAGAACCTTCCGTAGATTTATCAGGTGAAACTTTCAAAAGGCTAGGTCACATATAATAATACTATATATATTGACAGCACAGTAACACATTTAACACGATATAACAGTTGCGTTAATGCCTTAAATATAAACTAAAACATAACAGAATTATGAGTACGTTAGAATAGTAATGATCATTTATCTGTTTATCACAAATCATAGTAATGTTGAGGACCAGTGACTAAGACTTGGAGGTACGTGTAAACAATAATAAAAAAAGAAATTTGCCATAAATATATTTAAGGTGGAATGAACTGAAATTAATTCTTTCATCAAATTTATTTTTCCCCGACTGAATATCAATCTAACGGCCTTATTATGCTGAAATTATTACGACTAGCGTGGATCTACGGTTGGATTGTCGATTTCTGCCCCGTTTCGAAATAATTCCAAGGCCGGTATACTTAATAAGCCTGGTGGTTTTCAAAACAGCTCGATAACAGTAAGAATGTGAAAAGTTGTCAAAGAAACGAAAGGGTCAATGTAGTGTGTTTCCGGAGTAGCCATTGTTAAGACCTGCACGGTCCAATAACCTTTGTTCTATCCACTGGTCTTTTCAATCATACGGTTCCATCAGTTATTCTATTTCATTTTCATTCCTACTCATAAATGAATTTCATAGACAAATAGAGAAAAACCCGTCAAATAGCGGCCGTTTTCTTGTTTTCAGGCCCTTGAAAACAAAACGGTTTGAATTTGCCTTTATATGGCTTCTCGGACTGTAGAGCGGTAGCTGACCTAGACTTGCATTACTTTCACCTACGTCAGATGACGTATCGCAGGAAATGGTAAAAGAGTGCAAACTCATAACGAGGACAAACGATTTAATAATTGCTAAGTATAAATAAATTGAGCAGCGCTGAGTTTAATATTGTCGTACGGAATCGTAATATAAATAACAACGTTCGCTTGTTTTTAGAAAAAAATAGAAACCCGGCGAATTAAAAAGAGACTATAACCGCCACCTTGTCCACTCCCTGGTTCGGCAATAGATTAAAACCCTGTCAAGTCAGTATTTCTGTCTGCTTGTTCTTTTTTTCTCTCTCTCCCACGAAAGTAGACACAAAATTAGAAATTTGTGCACTTTCTCCTATTTCCTCGGCCCCAACACAAAACCGGTTCCGCGGGATGGAAAACAAATAGACTAATTATTGCTAGGTTAATGTCGTTCTGAACGTCAATTAGAATACAAACGGTAAAATGGTTAAAATGACATTTTCATCCCTTCTGAACACATTCACAATCCTGGAAAAAATCAACCACTACCAAGGGGAAAACAGCAAAGCCTCAAATTGCGCAACAAGTCTGAAATCAAAATACCAGAAGCAGAGTACTACAATTATTTATTTGAAACAATATAAACAGTAATTAAACATCATAAATTAGTGGTATTGATGCATACTGTGCTAATTGTGTCAAATTCAAGTCGTCTTGTAATGGAAATGTGCTATTTCGGAACTGATAGCACACTCGACGGTGGCACGCGGTGTGCTAACCCGCCGTAAACTGTTTTAAGGTTAGACTTTGGTTTACCTAACATGATTTATTAATCTGCTTATAATGGAAGTGTTCACAAAGAGTATGAAAGAAAGTAGTTTAGACAGTAAGGGCCAAAAATATAAGGGCCATATTTATAAGTAGTAAATATTTGTAAGTAAAATAAACTTTTACCTATTATGGATTTCCTTTACACTACAAGAACAAACGCGTAAATAAAATTTACTGTTCCTAAAGTAAAGACTTCCATGCATTATATCAATTCATGTAATTTAGTATTAAGATTCATACATCACAACAACATTGATATAAATTCCTTTTCCCTTATGATACATTTAAATTTTTTTTAAACACGTAATTAAAGAAGAGAAATGTTTAAAAGTGATATATTAATACATACAAAAATTGTTAAAGAAATTACATAAAATGACAATAGTCAAATAATTGAATGTATACTTCTACCATTAATTTGTATTAATATGTTTTTTATTTATTTTTGTAATTCATATAACTGTTTGTCAGCTTTCAAATCCTGCTCTCAAGAACAAATTACACTTACTGAGAATAGGCTGTTCATTTTACATTGTTTTGTTCTACATTATCATTTAATTTTGTTCTCGGCATTATGTATTATGTAAAGTAATTCAAATAAACTTATTTTTGTTTTTGTCTTTGTTTTGTAAAACAAGGCGTTTTTAAACAGATACTAGAGCAACTTTATAAGATTATTCGGAAATCGTGAGATGCGGTCTGGTGTAACGTAGGTTTCAGAAAAACATTTTCTTTATCGTACCAACGTTTCGAACTTTATTGAGATCATCTTCAGGGCTCAAAGTGTTTGTTTTCTGCGTAATTGTACCATTCTTGTGTATCGTGTTGAGAGTGAAGAACACACAAGAATCACACATCTACACGAAAAACACAACACTTTGAGCCCTGAAGACGATCTCAATAAAGATCGAAATGTTAGTACGATAAAGAAAATGTTTTTCTGAAACTTACGTCACACCAGAACGCATCTCACGATTTCCGAATAATCATCCACTAACGATCACTAATCACCACACACAACTTTATAAGGTTTATAAAGCAATCAGAAAGAAAGAAACAAATTGTCAAAAGAAGGATCGATAAAAAGAAGGTGAAAGAGAGATAAAATCCCTTTTCATGAATGATTTTCATCGAGGAATTATAATTAATTATATTGGGGTTTTAAAGAAATTAATTAATCGATATTAAACATATTCACAAAATTTATTCGAAAGACTATGAATGAGTTCCTGAATATGTTAACTAACTACCACAGAACTAGTAGAATATCAAGTCATTTACTTTTGTATATTACTATCTCAATAGCCCAAAAACATATTTAATACCATACAACGGTTGTGTTAATACCTTATTTGTATCTAATAGGGCTCGTTAACACTGTTGAAAAATACCATGACCACTATTTATGGAAAAAAATTGTTGCAAGATTATCCAGGGTTAATAATTTTAGATTTACATTTACTTCCCCATATTAATATCCCGTTTGTTATGAAGGATTGTGTATTTATAAAGAGAGCCCTTTTTATTCGTTAACCGGTCAATTATTTGACGATGTGCAATTAGAGAGATGATTTGTAAAAAAAGGAAATCTTAACGACATTAGAGGGGAAAACGGGTATTTTCTTTTTTTTACAAGCCTAGTTCAGCCAATCCGCAGTTTTTTAAGAAAAGAAGGATTTAGCACGGATCTCGTTTTTTCTTCGAAGTTCGACCATCCAAAACGTCCGGTACGGAACGGCGAAAGGATTTCAGCATCAATTATGCGGGGAAGCAGAACTAAGTCGAACGGAATAAACTCTCTCAAAAACGCTTCAATGTCCTACCAAAACTAGTAATGTTTTCCGAAACTTTCCTATAACCGGAGTCCGTGTTCCGTCAAGTGTACGACCCCTGGATTCAGATTCTCCGTTAACATCAGAATATTTCCGACCCGTGAAGGTTTACGGAACCTTGTGGACTGTGCACAGAGGCAGAAAAACACTGATTCACTGGTTAAACAACTTAGAAGGAACGCATCCACAGTAGCATGCCTCCACATGACTGGTCGAATTTAAACACGAGTTTATAAGAAAAGAAAAACATTTACAGTTTAATTAAAGGTACAGTACTTTCTCAAAAGATCCCGTAATCAGTGATTAACCCTAAGCCATGTACAGAGTTGGTAATCTGCCATGGATTAATGAAGTCACCGCCCATGACTTGTTCTAAATAGCATTAACCTGTGGCGTATTGCCCCGTCATAGCAAAATCAGTCGATTAATTCCGTTCCGTAAATTCAACCCGTTGCCTATCGACATTGCGTCCCAAACAAATATTCTCTTTAATTCATACAGGCGAGGTTCATCCGTTAAAAAAATCTCTATCTTTAAACAATTTTGTCCAAAAAGTTGAAAGAGGTTGGGCCCGAACCAGGGCATGAAAGTCAAATGAGAGTACAAGAAACCGTGTTTTTGCTATCTAACATATCCTTAAATGTGCCAAGCTCACGTTACTACTATTATTACTAAACTGTGTTTGGAGGTGAGGCCAGAGGTAAAGTGGGAGACGTTATCTTGCTTATCCTACTGACTCCCTTGACCCTAGCGCCGTCCCAAGTGCCAAGTGACCCTTCCTTCTCTTCACGCCTTCGGTTAAATAGGTCGACGACGCAATAAATTTTTGAACTTGTCTTGCTTCTGAAGAGTTTATCCCAACACTTCGATTTTAATAGTCCTCAAAAATTTTATAAAATTAAAATCGGTACGGAGCGAGAATGTTTCAACGCAACTTTTATTTTTATAAATCCCAACTATCAATTTATGCTTTTCTTCTATATAAACGAGTCGTCTAACCGAGAAGCAAT